TATATATATATAGCGCAATCACACACGTGTATATGTCACTTCGACACAGATTTGTCAACAGCTGTTGGAATGAACCATGCACCACTATCAGACGAATGTGCACTGATCATGCACAGAAGCACACGCAAGTCAATACACTCTCACCCACATATGACACACCTCAAAGACACAGAGAACTGGCATATGCATAAACCCGTACACGCATCACGACAACATAACACGCCATGTACATCAAAAACACACTCTGTTGCACTGGGTCGATTGATTTATCTCATTCCTACACTCGATGTGTCGTGTGGTCTCGCCAGTGACTCATCGCCTGTCCTGTCCTGTCCTCTGCCCCTGTGCACAGGTTCTGGTGAAGGTTGCGGCCTGTGGCCTACAGCACCGTCACCTGGGACAGACACTCAATGCTATGCAACAGACCCTCACCACACTACACCACACGTTTGAGCTCAATGTGTGCGGCGAAGGCGGCGAGTACGAGACCTTCACTCTGGACATGCCGCTGTTCAAGAAGCGCATTGTTGTGGAGGACGCAGAGATTGTGAGGGTCAGTGAGGATAAGCTGGCGCCGGTTGCTTACTACCGGATCAATCGATTTTCATTGGTGGATAAAAATAGCACAGACGTAGGTGTACAGGTGCCGGAGGAGGGGAGTGAAGAGGATGCTGAAATGGTTAGTGGCATGGACAGTGCGTTGTATCACGATGTAGAGTACGGGCGAGAATGTATGGAGACGGTGGAGGCTATGGACACAGTACACTACACAACACAAACACCAACAGAACACACACCCAACATACACACACACACACCAGCAACAGATCAGCACACATACAACACACACACACACGTGTGCTTTTGCGACAACTCCCTCTACATCGAAGGACTCCGCGGAGTCAACCACACACACACCCCACCGACTGATGCAGCCCACAGCCCACCCACCGCCTCACAACAGATGCAGCGTGTGCTGGATCAACTAGCACAGCACCTGAGCGCACACGCACTGGACACGTCGCACGTTACGCGTGTGCATTTGCTGGTGGCCGACATGGCGCAGTTTGCGCAGGTGAATGCTGAGTACGTGCGAGTGTTTGCGGAGAGACCCCCCTCGCGCGTGTGCGTGCAGGTGCCGTTGCCGGAGGGTGTGTTGGTGCAGTTGCACTGTGTGGCACACGCCCCTACCTCTGCTACAGACACGTCTTCTCGAGCTACGCGTGAGTGTTTGCATGTGCAGAGTATCTCACGGTGGTGTCCGGCGAATATCGGGCCGTACAGTCAGGCGGTGACACTCAGGGGCAAGGTCTACCTAGCTGGTAGGTGCTCAAGCAGACGCGATAATTGCGC